GCCTGTATTCCGCGAGAGTCAACAAACTCATATGTCCGTTGCAGCTCCCACGTCATGGTGTGTGATTTTAAGCTGCCTTTATTTTCCTCCCTTGAAACAGAGTGTTGTCCACCCAAACGTCCATGGTGGATGGCAAGATGGCGATAAAAAGCCGATAAGGCTAAGCGTACCGCGCGCGCCTCGGTCTGCATGATAAGAAAAGGTCTCTTCCCCCATTTCCCTCCGGCAATTTCAACGTCGCCGGAGCTGGAATAAAAACGGCTCCTCATCCCTGGAGCGATGCATCCGTGATGATGGCGGCCGATGCCTTTTCCGTGGGCTTGATGATTCGCTTGCAATTATATTCTCGATGATGTGTCGCAATCTCTCGCCCAAACCAATCGCTGACGGCGGAACGTTCTTCGGGGATGTCTCCAGCACAATCCCCCGGTTAACTGCGGATAATCGTCGTCGCACTGCCTTGAAAAAGTGGCAGACACATAAACGCGTGCCCAAAATGGCTGCCGCGGGCAAAAAACCGTGACGCCATAACCTCCATTTCCGCGATGGTTAAAGAATTGAGCGCCGGCATGGCGCATACAGACCGGACAAACTTGTCACTCAGTGACACCGCCCGGTGAGTGTGATCAAACTGCACCCCCAGAAAGGTGTACTGCGCAGCGCCCGATTCGCGATCCTCCCTGTCATGGCGTGACAACTGTCCGCATTACGAAGCACTTGGGCTTCCCACAATGTCAAATCGCTTTTCGACCCTGCAATGCGTATATTATCGATCCAAACGTCGATATGCACCAATGGAGGTGCGGCCCAGAGGCGGTGAACCACCGTCGTCACCCCCGCAATTCCCGAAGCAATAATAATCTGGAGAATTTCTGGGTTGACCTTGTATCCCATTGGGAGCCGTGTAAGCTCCACCAGCGTGCCGTCCTCCACGCGGCATCGAAAGTGATGCCGAGTCTCCTGCGGTAAAGAGACTTGAAAAAAAGGATGCCTTTAATTCCAGTCAGGAAGCGGCCTCAGCCATCACAGGTGACAAATAATGGGAAATGTGTAAAAGAGGAGCATGAGCCTCATAAGGGTCGTCTCTGTTCTTGTCGCGCGGCCACGCGATCCATCGTCGTCGCAAATCGGTGTTTTCTCCTCCACAACCGAAAAAGGTATTATCCATCCGCCTGTTGTTGTAGACGAAGCGTCCTCGATAATTCCCGCTTCCTTCAATAATTGCGCGTCAGCAACTGGAATCCTCCGTGAGCCTTCGCGCGCCTTACCGGAGGAAGACGGAGGGAAAGGGGACCGCCCGACGAGTCCCCATACTTGCATGAGTCCCTCCAAGGTAGCCGGGTTCAACCGGCTCTTGACCCACTCTAGATTCAACACGGGCACGTTGACTTGCTGCTGTGGCGGGATAGTTCGTTCACCTTGTGGAGTGGCGAGACGCATCCTTTCCGCGCCTCTCGTTATTGTAGCAGCATAATGATAAAAATCATGGAAAAAACGTTCCTCCGCTGTCAGCCAGGGTTCCTGCCCTTCCGCAGTGTCTCCCTTCACATCAATGCGACCAGCAACGACACCTGGGTCAGCATTGTGGTGTAATTCACCAAATATCGAACTGTGTTATGGGGAAGGTCAAACGGGTCGACGTGCTTCGCCAACTGCGAGATCACGTGTGGGGCCAAATTGTGCGTCTCCACGATTTGAGCAGCGTACTGCAGCGCACCGCGTTTTATGGAATGCGCTGTCTCATTCCAAGGGGCCAGAGCTCGTTCGACTTTGGCAGTCGTCAGATTCGTGAGCTTTTCGTTTTCTTGAAGTGTCCTGAATAGCTTTATAGTGTCAAACTCATCCTGCCCTCGTATCCTGGCGGACCGCGAGGCGCGCTGGGGATCCGCCCTCGCCGTCTTCGGCGCCACGGACCAATCCAAAATTATGGTCCCGTCCGGCTCCATTGCGAAATTGTTAAGTGTCAAGGCCGCAATCCCGGAACGACAACTCGCCGTTATCCACGCAAGTCGTAAAACAACACGTTCCCTCCAATCGGTTCGGCTGCGGACAAATTGACCCATCCCTTCCGTTGTCGATGAGCGCACCTGCTTTGTTTCCGATCGCGCCGCAATTTTTGGTAACCCCAGAATCATCATGTCCAGCGGGGTTCGATACATTTGCAAAATGGACCGCCGGCATCCTGGCGTGCTGCGGTCGGATCGATGGCGCCACATCTCATATTGCCATCAAAATGACCGCGCAGCTCTCCTCGTTGATCGGCTGCGCGTGCGTGCGGCAAGAACTTGTGAATTGCCCCGCTAGTGACATTCTCAGCTCCTACTTTGACGGCGCCCGCATTTCTCAAGCCAACTCGTTCGCCCTCCTCATGTGGCTGGCACAGAGCGAAGATATCGGTGATTCGCGGTACTACAGTCGAGCGTCGTTGGCGGATAAGCTCCTTTTCCCTTCTCGTCGATTGCGTCGGGCAATTTGAAGGATCGGATGGAACGTCGGCGGTGCGGTGCGAAGTCTGCGGATTGGTGGTGGGTGGTGGAATGAATGTGGCCGCCGTCGTCCGCCTTCATAAGCGGCGGGCAGCCCCTTTGCCGTTTTTTGACGTTCGTTTGTAGTTCGGAAAACCCCTTTTGGGGCGCACGTTGAATGTAGATGCGTAGTTTCCATAATTGTGACACAGTTGGCATCGCAACGATCGCTGTTGTTGCGGTCGGGTTCCCCGTCGATCCATTAGAAGCCGAGCCACCCTCGCGAAGGTGTCGTCCTCATAAAAAGCCGTATGAAAGCGGGCACGCAGCTTTTTGGGTCGGCACACTGGGGTCGGATTGAATCGTGATCTGCATCCGGAAGACCCGCGGTATAATCCTGCCCGAGTCCATGAACTTCTTGTTGGGCCCCCGATACAACTGCAACGCGCGCATCCACGAAACCAGAATGTCAAAGGCAATTTGGGCGTGAGCGTTCCCTTTCGTGCCAGTAATCGTAAGCGCCCCGGATTTCAAATAAAATTCCAAGGATGCCTTCATTCCAAATTCGCGGGACCCAAGTGGTGACGCCAAATTCAAGGAAACCCGGATCCTCTTCATTTGAGCCGGAAACTTCTTCTGAAAGTGAGGATCGGAAGGGCAATGTCACGGGGTGAGGGGAAATGTGGTCGCCCCACATTGCCCAATGACACATGAGTATTGACCCGCCGTCGTCCTCCCGTGAAAATGGGTTGGGGAATTGTGGATGCAGCCGCGCACCCGGCCATCAAACGCTCGTGGTGGGACGGTGTCGTTGCGCCATCTTCGGATCCGTGCGCGGGTGCATCTGGCGGCCCTCTCCTGGAAGAGGGAACTCCTCGCCGTGCGGGCGAATCGGTGTTTCCAAGGCACTGATGCGTGCCTCTCTTTCCCGGAGTTGCGCCTGGAGTTGGGCAGGGGTTGTCTCCAAATGACGTTCGCGCCCCGCAAGCGCCGATTCTCGTCGCGCAATAAAACCGTCCGCCACCGCAGTGTTGGACGCACGTGCCAAAAAGTGTTTTTTTCGCTTCCTCCATCTGGTGTTGAATCTGCGCGCTTCGATTCCACAAGTCGGCGATGGCGCAGTCCGAGTTTAATCTCTGCCTTTCAGCAATGATAAGCCCTTTCTGGACCCCCAACTCCCGGGCCGCGCCCGCACTATGGACAGGAGCACTTGGCTCTCGAAATTTGGTACTTGAGGTGCCCGGAGATTCGCAACATGTGTCCCGTAAGGCTCGAATCCACCCAGGGGGGTTGGTGGTAGATCCCGAAATCAATTGTAAAGCCATGTATGGTAGCACTGACAGCCATCATTGATTCCGACGGCCATGGTTTCATCCATTTAGGTGAGTTGCACTTGTGTATTTCGCCATGTTGGCGTACCAATTCCTTTGTATGACTACCAATGAAGGCTCCATTCCGTTGCCGTGTAAAAAAAAGAAACCCAATCGCCATTTCTTTTATATATAAACAATGCAAAAAACAGTTTTGGCTGTAAATAAATAAACAAATAAATAAATAAATAATAATAATAATAATAATAATAATAATAATAATAATAATAATAATAATAATAATAATAATAAAACCGAATTGACCTACCGTTACAATTTCCCTAATCCCTATTTACTCACAGTCAATCAAAGAATCATAAATGAAAGGGAAAAAGAAAAAAGGTTCATGGAGAGTTCGCTTCATCAGGATATATATATATATATATGTATATGTATGTTAAATTAAATAGCCAGCTAGCCACACTAACATTCTCTTCAAAATCTCCTAATCAAATGCGTGATTTCTTTTTCCTTTTTTTTTTTCTCTTTTATTCTTCTTCTTCTTCTTCTTCTTCCTTCATTTTGTCCGTCTTTCATTTCTTATTAATTAATAAATTAATTATTAATTTTTACTTCCGGTTTCGTTCCGTCATCATTCCTTTTTTTTTTTTAAATAAATAAAAATGATTATTTCAATTTTATGCCAACATGCAA